GTGTGGGCCACATCCCACTCTCCCACTGTGTGTGTGTGTGTGTGTGTGTGTGTGAGAGAGAGAGAGAGAGAGAGAGAGAGAGAGAGAGAGTTTCCTAAGAGATAGATATATGTATGCATATGTGTGCGCAATTAATTTAGCCAATTTTCTCCAATTCTCATTGGCATACCTTTTTTCTTGTTTGTTGAATGTGATGTGTAAAATAATTCACAAAGGACCCTTGATGGAGTTTATGCATTTAAGTATGCATATCCAAAAAAAAAAAAGTTTCCCCACTTTCTTCCTGTTCTCAGTGCTTTAGATGTGAGTTCTCAGTGGGACAGGTTGTAGTTTGCCGAGCTTGTAAAATCATCCCCCTACACAATTGGACTAAATATGTGTTGTGTATGTAGGTGTTTGTATGGAAAAGGTCTTTCACGGGATAACAAATGCATGTGTCTGTGTAAGTAGGTCACATCTGTGGTAGGTGTATTCCAAGCCTCATGAGATGCTCCTCTGCATTGTGTGTGTTGCATATGCGTTTCAGACACACAATGAGCGATAAATAGGCTTTGGCCTTCTTTCCTTTCATATGGCCGTCAGCGTTCCATACAGGGAAATTCCCACAGCAGCACATACATTTGAACTCACATATGGGTGTATTTATGCCTTGAAATATGCAAATCTATGCATCAATGTCTTACTGCACTTCTATAATTTGTCTCCGCCATCATTTTTTATTTTTTTGTTTGCCTCATTTGCATTAATAGAGAGAGTAGGTATGTCCAACTTAGTTTGTAATGGAAGTTAACAGTACCACCACCTGCCTGCTGGGTTAATGGCCTCTCAAACTGACATATCTGAGATCTATAAATAGTAGAAATTTCCCATTGTCTGTTGATTTGCGGGTTCTTGTAGCTTTGGCACTGACCCGTAACCTCCAGGCAGAAAAAGCAATGCTTAGTTTTAGCAGAGAAATGTGGTCTGGTTTAAACTATTCAACACGTAATTGTCTTCCTGTTCTCCTCAGCAAACATTCATGTGATGCTCCTGTTCTTATTTCGAGTTTACTTTGATTGGCTGCCAAAATGAGACGTTGCATGACAGGGAATCAGTGAGAAGTGTCAGTGGCACTCTTTTAATTGATCACCTGTTTCAAAGCTGTATGTGTGACAAGCTCACAATGAGAAGCAGTCAGATTACTGCAACATCAGTACATAGCTGTTCATCAATGACTGTCAGTAGTTAATAGTAGATAAATTGTAGATACAGTCCCTAGAGGTGTGTGATACTATTGTAATTTGTTGTTTTAAACATGTGAGCTGACAAGTGGCAATGTCACTCACTTTGCAAAAAAAAAAAAACGCCTTAGGATTGCACACAATCACTGCATGATTTAACTTATTAGAATGTAGTTAGAAGGCCCCCTGAAAATATGGGCGGGGGGGGGTATCATTTAATACAGTTAAACCATTTTTTTTTCTTCCAGGTGAGCCACCCATGGGCTTCCGTGAGGTCCTGTTGAGGGAGGGTCCTGAGGTTTTTGCACGGGCAATTCGACAGCACCAGGGTCTTCTACTGATGGACACTACCTTCAGAGATGCCCACCAGTCCCTGCTGGCCACTCGCGTCAGGACACACGACCTCAAGAAGATTGCTCCATTCGTGAGCCACAACTTCAATAATCTCTTCAGCCTGGAGAACTGGGGAGGCATGTGACATTTCTTAATATACATACATATGCACAGAAGTGCAAATTCATTAAACAGCTTTTTGAGATGTTCCCCAGCTCTGTGTGTTTAGGCTTACAGAGGATCACTTCGGTCTTTGACATGACCTTAATATCTCTCTATATCAATCTCTCTTGCTTTCTCTAGGAGCTACATTTGATGTAGCATTGCGTTTTCGGTGGGAGTGTCCGTGGAAGAGACTTCAGGAGCTCCGAGCTCTGATTCCCAATGTCCCATTTCAGATGTTGCTACGTGGAGCCAATGCGGTGGGATACACAAACTATCCTGATAATGCAGTTTTCAAGTGAGATCACACACATATTTCCATTGGCTAATGTTATTTTCTATCCTCTACTCCTAATCCTACCCTCACAGAAACCTTTCTGTATATTTAAATGTTTAAGATATTGTTTAGTATGTTTATTAAGCTGTTTTCCTCTTGGGCGCTGTTGACCCGTCCACACAATTTAGGTGATTACATTTGTAGGCACAAACAGTGCATGTATTGAGCCATAGAGAGTTAGAGCTGATACCATAGCAGCAGTAAACATAGTTGTAGTGCTATTCACATTTATTTTTTAATATTAGTTTAATTATTAAGCTAATACTTAATGCCATGTACACACAGTAGTTAGGATTTTCTCATGCTTCCATAATAGGCAAGGTTTGCTCACAAATGTATCAAATACACCAGTAATATCCCAGGTTGTGCTACTTTGGTAAATATGCTCATATTCATATGTCTGAATAAAACAGTGTAAATATAGTGTGTAATAGCATGTATATATGCAGTATATTGGACATAAATGTATCATTCCCCTAACAACTCCATAGCAATACGCTAAAGTTCACTCAGAACTCCTTATCAGCCATGCTAAAAACTACTCAGCATACCTTAGCAACCACATGGCAATGTTCTTGCAACCACCCACAACACCTTATCATGGCAGTGAGTTTCTTAGAATTTCTACTTTCCATAATAAAAACAACTTTTGATGGTAACTGTTGGAAAGTACATAATATTCTGGCAGGCATTAAAATTGTCAATGGCTTGACTTGAATGTTCATTCATGCAAATGTCTCTCTTTACTCTTATAAACCATAAATGTCGGTTTTGAAGGAGTTGGCAGTAGTGCAGAGCTGACAACCTTGTTTCCATTTTTCTTCGCTCTCTTTCTCTAGATTCTGCGAGGTAGCCAAAGAGAACGGAATGGATATCTTCCGTGTTTTTGACTCCTTGAATTATATTCCCAACATGCTTTTGGGGATGGAAGCAGCAGGGGCAGCGGGAGGCGTGGTGGAGGCGGCCATTTCTTACACGGGAGACGTGTCTGATCCCATGAGACAGAAATACTCACTGGAGTACTATCTGAAGCTGGCCAATGAGCTAGTTAAGGCTGGAACACACATACTGGCTATTAAGGTAGAGCATGTGTACAAGGAAAAACACATTCACACAGAATTGGCCTGACAATCATATGTTCCACACTCACAAAGGCAGAGGTGAAGGATTTGCTAATGTAACCACTGGGGGGGTTTTTGTGTCAGGGCTCTTAGCATGTTATTTTCAGCTGTGTTTGGCAGTTACTCAAGGGTGTAATGACTGAAGATATTGACAGTAATACTCATTCTCGCTCTGTTATTTCTGTTTCTTTTCTCTTTTTCTTTGTTGAGCTGCTGTAATGACAGTGATCGTCATAATGTGATTTTCTTTTCTGTGGGGTGCACTTGAGTGGTTCAAAGCAGCTCTGCTCTCTTTTCTTCCTAGGACATGGCTGGCCTGTTGAAGCCAGAAGCTAGCCGTTTACTGATTGGAGCATTGCGGGACCGTTTCCCTGACGTCCCTATCCATGTTCACACTCATGATACAGCAGGTGCGGGAGTTGCTGCAATGTTAGCCTGTGCACAAGCAGGTGCAGATATAGTGGACGTAGCAGTGGACTCGATGGCAGGCATGACCTCTCAACCGAGCATGGGTGCCATCGTCGCCTGCACCAGAGGAACCAAACTTGATACTGGTGAGTGGAAAAGAAACGTGTAAAGGTATGGCGAAATGTTGATAGAAATTTCACAAGCAAAAAAAGAGCCATTGTCAATAGTGTAGTGATGCATGAAGCACCGTTCACACAGAAGTCACTTTCATAGCTGGCAGCTTTCTGTTGGTCAACGCAGTGAATCCGCATGACCAGCTTGAAAACGAGCAAAATCTGCATAAATGTGACCACGCCTTAAGGCTCAAAACATAATCTACACAAGTATGTGTGTAAATGCAAACTGGGACTGAGAAAAGCTGACTGAGAAAATCCCCCAAATAGTACTTAAATGGCATTACATTATTGTGGCAGATAAGTAAAGCCCTGAAAGTCACTAATGTCATATGTATTATGATTTACATGTGATACTGTATATGTAGTGTTTATTATATTTTTCCTTAAACATTTATTCCATCTGCGCTATTTTTGAGTTCTTGGACTGTGTAGACATGCAGACTGACATCTTCAGCCACTGCATCTCGTCTGAAAGTATTTAATAGCAGTTCAGCTTAAAAAGAAGTCATAGCCATAGGCTAGTGGGCAGAGCTCTTGACATATCGCACAACAGTGCTTCGGGGTACCCGAGTTCTGACTCAAGGTCTTTTCTGTTCTAGTCTCACAACTCCTCTTGTCAAATAAAGTCAGTGCCCAAAAATATAACTTAAAAATATAAAAATGTATTTATATACACTTCAGTTCAAAGGTTTGGGGTCAGTAAGATTTTTTTTTTAATGTTGTTAGTCTCCTATGATAAAAAAAAAATACAGTGAAAACAATAGTATTATGAAAGTACTGCAATCAAGCAAAAACTTTTTTTATTTTAATGTATTTTAAATTGTAATGTATTGCTATCATGGCAAATCTGAATTTGTTTTGTTATTACGTCAGTCTTCAGTGTCACTTGATCCTTCAGAAATCATTCAGATATGCTGTGTTTCTGTAATATTTCTTATTATTACCAATGCTGAATATAGCAGTTTAATATTTTTGTCAGTTTTGTAGTTTTGTGTTTTTGGTCAACTATTGTCATGGCACAGCAAATGTTTGAAGACTGAATAGTGCTGCTGAGCAAGTTAGATGAAGTGAGAACAAGCTTTAAGTATGCACAACATGTGACTTTTGGTCCACACTTGAATGTTTACATAAAGCCCGGCTCACACTGTGCGATTTTGGCCACGATTTGGTCGTCTGAGACAAATTTTGAAAATCCTAAAAGATTCCTATAATCCTAGGCTAAAATCTGTAGTCTTTGATCGTTAGTTTGACAATTAATGGCCGTTGCGATCAAATATTACCTCCGACGAACTTCTGGCAGTGTCAGAAGATTTGGCACACA